GTCTGCAGAGGTGGTACCTCAGGGGCCCGTCGTCTATCAGCTGACTTGATAGGTCCCATAGGGAAGTTGGCTCCAAAGGCTTGAGTCACAGGATTGTCACCTCCACACAAAAGCCATCACTTACACCCAAGAGTAAATGCTATTTCATATCTTCAAAGCAAAGGAGGAGATCACCCCTTCCAACTTCTGAGGCTTAGCTCAGGGCTCTGCACCGACCAGGAGAGACAGAAATGTTTGATGCACATGTGGAATGACAGCGAACAAATTCCTCTTTCACTTCTACTTTCTTATAAAAGCTTAAATCCTTGTTAAAATTAGGCCTCTGGCCTGGATGGCCTCGAAAACATTTGAGCCTGGCTTCCTGGTCTTACAGGCAAGACTTGTGAGTTGCAAACAAGATTCATTTCTCCAGGACCTGTTAATCAGGCTCCTGCCTCTTACTTAAACAGTTAGCGTTGGGAATAGAAGTGTACACAGAGTCACTTGAAGCTCATCTCTGTCTCCCTCATGGTGCCCGCCAGGCATAGCGCCAGCCACTGAGTTGGAACTCAGTAAACACACATGGATGGATGTGGCTCACTCCACACAGTTCCCCGCTGTGGCACAGAGACTGGGTTTTGCTTTTAGTCATGACACGTGTTCTGTGTTCTAATCTCCATCATCCATGTCCACTACCTTTTAAAAAAAGATGCTAAAAAATGGTTCCAGTAGTTGTTAAGGTGGTGCTTTTTATTTGCCGTAAGTAATGATAGACATTATCTAGGTTGCAAGATGACTTTGAGGTGGGACTGTGTTCTCCAGCGGAACCAGTAAGAAATAGCAGAGCACAGGCTTCTCCAGGGCAGGGCACTGGGATCGAATCCAGGCTTCGGCACCATCTCTGTAACCTGAGGCAGGTTACTCAGTCTCCCTGGTCTTCAGTTTACCCATCTCTACATGGGAACAGTGGTGGTATCGACCTCATAGGATTGTTGTAAGTGGTAAATGGAATGATATATCTATAGAGATTAAGCCAGTGCCTGGAACATGGTAAGAACTTAACAAGTTATTAGTTATTACTTAATTATCACACTAGAAAGCTACTAATTATTACTAGTATTCATGACTATTCTTAACCTTGGTCAAGTAATATGCCTACGGGGTAAAGTGTAGAATAAAGCAGAGGAATGAAAACTGTCTTTATCTCAGGGCAAGAGGTGAAGCCCTGTTGTTGTAATGGCATCTAAATAAATGTGGAAGGGCTGGTGGACTTGGCAAAGAGGTTGAAGGCTAAGTCAGAGATAGTACTAGATCCTGGTGGTCAAGTATTTCTTTGCCTGGTGTAATGTGCACCTTGCACGGAGCCTGGCGCATGGTAGGTTCTCAATAAATCATAGCTGTTAGTTATTTCAGGCCCCTGGGATATATTTGCAGACTTAGGGAGAGTGTGTATCATTTCGTTTCCAAGGCTGGAGTGTTTTTATAATATGTTTTGGTTCTATCAAGGTCAGTCTTTGGAGAGTGTATCAGTTAGTTATTGCCATAGGGATGCTGTACGTGCGGACCTCGGAGATACTGCAGGTTTGGTTCTGCACCACTATAATATGAATATTGGGTTTCCCAGTGCATATAAAAGGATGTTTACACTTTTTTGTAGTCTATTAAGTATGTAATAGCGTGTCTTAAAAGATAATATACAAACTTAATTAAGAATACTTTATTGCTAAAAAATGCTAACCATCATCTGAGCCTTCAGCAAGTCATAATCTTTTTGCTAGGGAGAGTCTTACCTTTAATTTGTAAAAACACAGTATCTGTTAAGCACAGTAAAACAAGGCTCTCCCTGTATCAGCAACCACCCTGAAACTCGATGGGTTAAAGCAAATATACAGAGTGTGGCAAAAGTAGTAGGCTTACAGTTCGAAGCGGTAATAATACAAGGATAAATTCTGTGTTTCGTGTACTCAAAACTGTAAACCTACTTTTGCCCCAGCCTGTCTGTTCTCTGTGTCAAGGTTGGCCGGGGCTTGGCTGCTGTGGGCTGGGCTTGGATTCAGGCTGTAGGCTGGGCCCAGGTCTGTTCCGCGTGTCCCTCATGCTCCTCGGACCAGCAGGCTACCTGGCGCGTGTTCATCTTGTGCTGATGGCGAAAGCACAAGAGGCCATGCTCAGTCTCACAGGCACATCTCAAGGTGCTGCCTGGGGCATCCCTGCTAAGCTCCCACTGGACAAGGCAAGTCACATGGGCAAGGCTGAGGTCAGAGGACGAAGAATCCGACTCTACAGAGAAATGCAAAGTCACGTGGCCAGGGGTATGGATAAAGGGGTGTGTAGTGGGGTATGAGCCCACAGTTAGTCTACCCAGTCCTCCACGTGACTTCCCCAGCTGAGTCACTGCAATACCTGCTGTGAAAGGGCTTTCCTTGCTTAGGAGGTTCCCTGGTTCCTGCACCTGCATTAAGATTCCAGAAGCACTCCAGGGTAGCCTCGGAGCACATCGCAGATTCCCCTTTGGTCTGCAGGAGCCTTCCCTCTGACAGACAGGAGTTGACTCTGCTGTAAACAGAGAGTCCCGATTTGGACAGACAGGATGGATTAGGCGGACAGCATCATTGACCCGGTTCCACTTCGTTAGCCTTTCCAATTAAGGAAGGTGTTGCTGAAAGTGAGACCTCGCCGATATGCAGTCATGCCTTGAATCCTCCGGACTGCGTCTCTGTAGGGAGAGTCCTATATTTTAAAAGTGCGCAGAGGGAGGGTAGCAAAATTCTGTTGGCAAGTGAATCCTAGTGTTAATGACTGGCCACTTGTGAGTACTTTATCTTCTTGGCTGGGTAATTAGCATGCTAAATAGATAGCATTTGTGCCTTTGTCTTCCAGAAGCTTTTTAATGGATATTGGACCCCTGACCATGTGCCCGTAGGGTTTCTGATCTGGGAACATCAAATAAAGAGTTGGTGCATCACTGTATCCAGGGATCAGGCTCTTGGTTTTGTCAACATAGTTGACAGAGGTTTCCTATGGTTTCCTGGGGAAGGTCTTTTCCAGTGAAGTTGTTCTTAGGTGCTCACAATGGCATTTTCCCCTTTTTACCCCCTCGGGATTCTGGGCAATGAAGCATAAGCCCCATTGTTTGGGCTGTGAAGTACAATTTAATTAATCTGGGCACGCTCCCAACACCCCAGTGCAGTGCTTTGAAAGGATGTGGCGGCTCTGAGAACAAGGCTAAGGTTTGAATCTCAGATGCAGCTTCTTATCTTCCAGTCAAAATCTGGATGGTGGGAAATCTCGATGGTGGGGTCTGAATGGAGAGAGAGACACACACACACAGCCTTCTCTGAGCTGGAGAGCAGACACTGAACTCTGTCACTCACTTAGCAGCACACCTGAGATCTGACTCAGGCTGCCTGTCACAAACCAGGAGGATGGCCTTGCCTCCTGAAGACAAAAATGGCCCCTGCCCAGTGTTCCTGCTTCACACAGGGAAACTGAAAGTACAGGGTCAACTCTCCTTGTGTACGCGTGATAAAGGGGCTGGATAGAGGGGGGCTCCGTGAAGGACAGCTAGACCAGTGAGCCTGCTCACTCGAAAAAAGCGGTGCAGTGGAGGTTCTCACCCACCGTAGCTGCCACTTCTTCAGCCTTGGGAAGCAGCTGGTAAAGGTCAGAAGAGAGAGGCCTGAAACATTCCCTTCAAGACTATTCCAAGTCCCCAAGGCTGCAATTTGGGGAGAATGGGAGAAATGTACCCCTCAGTATTTTCCTCAGTGTGAAGAATATATATTTGATGTCTGGGTGGAATGTGTAAATTAGAGTGAGATATTTTCTTGGCAGTTCCCATTGAGCTTCACCATTGAAAAAAATGCTGGCAATTGAGCTCAGAAGTGGGATTGGGGGAGAGGAATACCCTGACTTCAAACAAAAGTCAGAACTGTGCAGAGTTCAGAATGTCCCTGGGCACATGGCTCCTACACTCATCAGAATGATTATAAATGGGCGTCATCATAAAGGTACCACAGAGGCATGATCAGGAAAATGACAGTTCATCTAGGGCAGGGGTTCAGCATGTTTCAGTTTCTCTATTAGTCCTTTTTTTTATTGTGCTAAGAGCACTTAACATGAGATTTACCTTGTGGACAAAATTTTAAGTGCACAATACGTATTGTTGACTATGGCTAAAATGCTGTACAGCAGATCTCTAGAGCTCATTCGTCTTGCTCAACTGAAACTCTGTACCCATTGAACAGCAACTCCCAATTCCCTCTACCCCGGGCAACCACCGTTCTCCTCTCTGCTTCTGCAAGTTTGACTGTTTTAGATTCCTCATATAAGTGGAATCATATCTGCACTTCCTTGTTCGTTGAGTCCTATTTACAATACACAAGATGAAGAAACAACCTAAATATCCACTGATGGACAATGGAAGAAAATGTGGTATATGCATATAATGGGGTAGTATTCAGCCTTAAAAAAGGCCTTAAAAAAGGAAATCCTGCCATATGTGACAACGTTGATGACGCTTGAGGACATTAGGCCAAGTGAGATGAGTTAGACACAGAAGGACAAACATGGCATGATTCCTCCACATGATCTTTCTTGTTCACCGTATAGGCCAGTGAGCTAATTTGCACGGCTTTCTAGAACCTTGTATTGGAAAATCTGCTTGGATGGGACGAAGCTTCCAACTGAGTTTGCAGGTCATGCCCATTCTCTCGAAGAGGCAGCTTGAGGTTGCTTTCCCAGAATTACAAATCCAAGGTGGCTAAGTTCAGAGCCGACATTGTGCAGACAAAAATAGCCTTTATGTGCCGAGTTTCCTGTTTCTTTTGGAAACCACTTGCTGAAAACCACTACCTCCTCCCGTCTGTCCCTTCCTCCTCTGTACCCACCCTGCCCCCCCAAAAAAAGTTCATGTTTAATGACCCGAGACATGACCACCAGGCATTTTCAGTCAATTGGCTTTTGTAGAGAGTGAATGAATTGGACTTTTCTTCTGGCTTTCTCTCTCCTGAAAAAGATCTTCCCAGCCCATTGGAATGTGCTCTGCAAACCAGGAATTAAGCTCCTCCCTCTCTCTCTCCCTCTCTCCCCCCCCTCATTTCTTCCTTCATTCTTTCCCAAATCAGACACAAGCTGGTGGCCTTGCTCCTAACTGGGACTTTATAGTCTTTCAGGTTTATTTCTAATCCTCTTATGAACCCATCTCTCCCTTCATATAGAGAGTTTGAACACACTTTGAGATTCTCAGTTAGGATGCTTTATTTCTTATTTCTTCACTCTTCATTATTCTGCAGGATCTCCTTGTAGGTGTCCCCTTCACCTCTTAATGAAAAACTTGAGCATCCTTAATCAGTTGGGTGTTGAGGGGACACTGGAGATTGGGCCACACTGTTCTAATGTCTCGTAGAATGGGGAGACGGAGTTGGGTGGCTTACCTGGGGGTTGCTTAAGCACTGAAGAGCTCCAGCTTTGTTTTAAGTGATGCTGGGGTAGTAGGTTAAATTTTCCCACCACTCATCTGCGTTTTCTCCTTTCTTCCCACAGGACCCACACCCAAGTCCGCTGATCACCCTGGAGACCCAGGTCAGTACCTTCCTATGGTCTTTGTCGCTTATCTCTGCACTGAGGTTCCTGCACTAGCTCTCCAGGGAGTGTGTGTGCATCCTCTTGGCCCCATGGCCCAGAAAGCCTGGAAAGACACATACAGCTGCCCTCCTGTCCTGTCAGGATGTGCATGCACGCACATGTGTGTGCACACACCAGCTGATTGTGTGTGTGTGTATGTGTGTACACATGTGTGTACCCGGGTGTCTGAAAGCACCATAAGAGGCAGAAGAGGGTATGGGGGGATAAATGGTGATGGAAGGAGACCTGACTTGGAGTAGTGAACACATAATACAATATACAGATGTTGTATTATAGAAGTGTGCCCCTGAAACCTATATAATTTTATTAACCAATATTACCCTAATAAATTCAATAATAAATAAATAAAGCACCATAGGAAGAACCATGCCCATTTCTTTTGAGTTTTCCTCTGTCCATTGCTTCTGCCCAACAATTGTGAGGAGGTGAATGGAAAGGGAGAGAGGAGGCAGAGGGGAACCAGGCAGTGGGATGTGGCTGTTCTTCCATAACTTTGGATTTGGAGAACTTTTTCTCCTTGGCAGTGAGGGCAGCTGCTCTGAAGCATCTGGATCGCAGTGCTGTGGGGCAGGTCACCAATGGGCCTTGTAAGGAGGGCATGGCCCTTATGTTTACTGTTCACTTTCCTGAGAGATAGGAAGCAGACTGGCTACGAGTAGGGGCCTTGGGATCTAACAGACCCAGGTGGAATTTCAGATCCACATCTTCTGGCCCTGAGCGGCCACTGGACCTGGAGTATTACCTCTTCCCATCTGGAATATTACCACAGTGAGAGTGCCCACCTTGCAGGGTGGTGGAGAGAATTACAGGAGTAGTGACCATAAAGTCATCGTTGTATACTAACTACTTGTGAATGTTAGCTCTTTATTATGTTCTTATTGAATTTTAGAGGGAGAGGAAGGGGGGGGAGCGAGAGAGAGAAACATTGATGTGAGAGAAACAGTGATCATTTGCCTTCCACACACATCCTGATCGGGGGTCAAACCAGAAACCTGAGCATGTACCCTTTCCAGAAATCAAGCCAGTGACCTTTGAGTGCTCAATCAGCTGAGCCACACCGGCCAGGGCAGTGTTAGCTCTTTAAACTAATAGAACTAATAGAACTGTTACATTTCCGAGAGCACTTGGGTATAACTTTGGATTGGCCATATCCTTCGCATTGTGGGTTGGTCGGAAAGTAAAGGAGAAGACAGACAGAATGGGTCCCATCCAGAGCCCCACAGCTAATGGTGGGAGAGTCTGAGACAGGCTAACCTATTGGAACATGTCCCTGTGGCAGCTCCCTGTGGTTCTGGAGCTCGCTGGAAAGACCCCTGCCTCTCTCCCTCTTTCCCCTCCTCTGCGGGTCCGTCCCTCTCACTGGCATCTCTGCCTCCGTCTTCCCAAAGGGTATGGGGAGGAAACCCACCCTTCTCCTCCTTCCTTGAAAAGGAAGCCAGGCGGTTTGGGGACGGTGGATTTCCAGGGTTTCTCTGTGTTCTCTATCCTCCAAATTCCGCACATTTAGTTCTGTCAGCTTTGGGGATGACCAGGCTGCAGAGCTGGCAGGGAAGAGCAGGGGGTGCACTTTGAGGGGCATAAGGGCCCAGTCCCTTCTGCCTGTTTGGTGATCCTCTGCCATTCGCCTATCACCTCAGTCATGTTTGCGTTAGGTGAATTGTACCTGTTCTGTTAAATCACCTAAAAATACATTTTCCTTGCATTAATTTTTTTACTTTCAGAAGTAGACTTACCCTAAGCTAATGGTTCCTAATCAGGGGTATCTTTGACCCTCTGAGGACACTGGGCAATGTCTGAAGACATTTTGGGTTATCTCCCCTGTGGGGTGGGTTACTACTAGCAACTAGTAGGTAGAGACCAGGGATGTTGCCAGATATCCCCCAATGCACAGGACCACCCCATAGGAAGGAATTATCCAGCCTAAAATGCCAATGGTGCCGAGGTTGAGAAATGCTGCCTCAAGAAATAATAGTGGTGACATCACAAGTTTGATGTGCTAGTTATATTTTTTTGAAAAACATTAAAATAAATCTTAAATCAATATTTAAAAGTTCCTTTGGGTGGCCTCTGAAAGCATCTAAAGGTACTCCTAAGTGTAGGTGTGCCACACTCTGGGAAATGCGTCTCTCCGCAGGCAGGCTACCCAGCGGACTGTGAGAGAACTTCCATGGCATTTGAAGAATGATGGCCTTTCTCTTCTTTATCAGTTCCTCCCCACAAGGAAAACTCATTAGACTCAGGGTTACCCCCTGGGAAAATAGTCTTTGCCCAGAATTCTGGAGGCCAAAGCTCACTTCCTGGGGGCGGAGTAGCTCTGCCCCATATGGTTCTGTCCTTGGCCCTCCTGGATCCTTCACTATGGAAACCATCTAACCAGCCCTGCAAAACCTCCATGGGAAAGAACAGTCACATGCCAATGGCTTTGGCCAGCCCACTGTGAGTGTGACAGCTCACCCTTACACAGTGACCTCCTTTAGTCACAGCCATTAGCCCAAGGGACCCGAGTCTCAATCTGCTGCCAGGCGTGGCACGAGACGGGCTTTCTGCATTTGTGCCACGCCATTGGGGAGATGACTCAATTTGTCTCCAACCAGCACTCTATCAGTCTCATCTGGTTCTCGGTCTTTGGGGAGCTGTAGGATGTTGTCTTTCCCCGAGTTCTGATTTCCCATGTTTCAGGGACATTGGAACCCAACCAAAGTGCAGTTTTTTCACACCATTGGCACAAGCCTGTGGCCAGATCTTACTTGGTGCTGGGCCTCAGCCCATCGTGTGAGTCACAATGGGAATTTATTCAGCTGCCGCAGGCAGGTCAGACAAGAGGGGCAGGGAAACGTTTTCTGGCAGAAAGTGGTGCCCCAAATATTACCCTTATGGCACGAGTAAGATGGCAGCTGTGGCTGAGCTTGGGAGAACCAACCATGTGGAGGGAGTGGCAGATGTGCTCTGAGCCCCGGGTCAGTGCCACTTCCTCCCGCCAGCGCCCTTTGCTCCTAAGAAAGGCATTACCTGCTCCATCCTGGAGCACCAGTGCCACAGGTGGGCCTGCCTTATAGACTTCACTGCCAGCCAGTTCCATACATCACACACCAGTGACTTCACTTGTGCAGCACCCAGTCTGCATAGGGTCACTGGGTCACCTGGGGGGCCTTCCCTCCATGCATCCACTCTCTCCCTGGTTTCACTGCATTGTCCCTCACCCGTGCCTGGTGAATCTATCCCCAAGCAGCTGTTCTGAGTTGGGGGAGATGGATTGATTGGCTGCTGAGGACTCCTCTGTGCTCTTTGCCGTTAGCACGGCAGAGCTTTGCATCTGTTGGCATCAGCGGGACTCTCTGCTTAACGGCCAGATTAATAGAATGAGGAAGCAGAGGAAGGTTGAAATCTCTGGTGTCAGCTTTCCCCTCAGCAGGCGGCCCCCGGGGTGTACCAAGAAACCCTGGCTTGCAGTGGTGAATGCTTCCCAGGTCTCCAGATGGTGGTTACCCAGGAACCAGGTGACCTAGAAATGAAAAAAAAAAAAAAAAGGGCTGAGAGGAGTGTGAATTTGTTTATCTGCTTGGTGGCATTATCATGATCTCCACTCTCACTGATATTCACTATTTGCCAAAATTGGCTTCTCCCACTGAATCCCCAATTGCCCTAATTACATAGGTGCTCTTATGGTACCCAATTTCCAGATAAGGAACAGGGGTTAAGTAATTTGCCCAAGGTCGCTCAGGAAGCATATAGCATTGGTGGGTGCCAGACTCATGGCCATGTGACGTTAGAATCTATCTTCTCAGCCTCTATCCCATTTTTCCAGTTGCCTTGACCAGTAGAAAGATTTGCTAATGCTCAGGCAGAGCTGGAGGGATGGGCTTGATGTAAACAACTCAGAGTCCGTGGATAGATACATAGAAAGAAAGGAAGAAAAAATGTTCTGCACAAGTATCCACAGGTGTACTTAGATTAACAGGTAGAGCAATAGATAGATGGCCGGTGGGTAGATATATAGATAAATAGATAGAATAAGCTGCACAGTGAGTAATTCTTTGACAGATAGGTTGCCATAAGACTTGTGGGTAAAATAGTTTAAGCGGTGTGCCCAATAGAAAATTTATTTGCAAGCAACAAAAATGAAGCATCTTCTTGTACATCAATAGTGTTTTGAAAAATTTGAATTCTCATTATTTGATTCTCTCTTTCTCATTGATCCCTGAGATGGTTTATCATTTCCAGATCCACTCCAATTGACAAGGCCACTTGTCATTGAATTTTAACTTCTCTGACTCCCTTCCCCCCTCCCCCCAGCAGCTTCACTGTCAATTAGTTAATGGGCTCTACTCAAACACGGAGGTACCCTGGGAGCTGTAATAAAGGAACTCTTCAGGAGAGTAAAGATTTGTCAGTCTGGGTATTTGTGAAGTTGGTTCTGCTTAGGTGGGAGCAAGCCCAGGTTTACTTGAGATCCCTCTCAGGACCTGGAAATCAAGGGCATCAGGAGGAGAAGTCCTGACAGCTCAGCCTGCAAAAACCAACCAGGGCTTGAATTTCTTTGATCAGCTGACTGGAGGAATCAGGGGAGAGAGTAACATTCGTATTACTTAAAGATGATGCTGGGGCCTCTAAGGATTGTGAACAGAGCTGATGAGAGAATGAGTAGGGGTGGAAGGAAATTAATACTTTAGACTTTATACCGATGTGAATCCATCCATCCATTCGCTTATTCGATAAATAGTTTTTGGGGCCAGGAGGAGGCCAGGCTTTGTGCTAGATGCTAAAGTAAAGATACAGTAGTGAGCAAGACAGAGGGCTCCCTGCCCGAGGAGCATCCATTCTGGTTGGGTGAGTCAGTGAATTTACAAACAGAAACACCCAGCATTTCAGGCAGTAATAAGTGAACAGAAAGAAGACAAGCATGTTAGTAAACGAGAGTGACTGGGCATGGTGAGAGG